CATAAAGTTATGTGTGGATTTCTGGGCATGCGCTGATCGCAAGGAGAAAGAGCCAAGGATCTCTGAGGCCAGTAGAGATGTTGGGGTGAAGAAACTTCTCCTTCTTTGCGAGGGATTTGGGGCGGTCTTGAGCAGTGTGTTCTTACAGGCACACATGCCATGCACCACTCTGAGTAGTTGTCTATATGGACTGTAGTTCTTAGTCCTAGTAGTCATGTGCTGTGGGGGTGCAGCGGTGAGCGTGCAGTCGTTTTTACTGCACCCAGGGATGGTTTTTTGGATCGTACAAGTCTGCGGTCAGGTGATCCTCTCTACAGTGCTCACTGGACCAGTGGTGCTCGAATTGGACCTTGGGTTACCAGGAAAGGCAGATATATCCGAGAACTTTCTGTATAACATCCTCCCACTTTCACAGATCCACCTGCCTTATGTGATTTCTGGGGCCCGTCAGCCATGCGTCTGCATGGAGGCTGGTTCATTCGAAGGGGAGAGGACTAGCGACAATATAGGACTCTGGGTCCTGGCCTCACAGTAGTGGGAATGAGACTAAGGTAGACTCTAACTGCCACCCTCCCTGTGTGCTGACTCAGGACGCAGTGACCTTCCACGACGTGGCTGTGAACTTCACCCCGGAGGAATGGTCATGCCTGGCGGCCTCTCAGCAGAAGCTCTACAGGGACGTGATGCTGGAAACCTACCAGCATCTGCAGGCTGTAGGTGAGAGCAGTGTGGAGCCAACCCTGTCTGGACAGACCTGCTTGGGCTCCCTGGGTTTGGGCCGCAGCTGTGTGTCCAACAGTAGCTGTGACTGACGGGCTGGTATGTTGAACAGCCATGAGGTGTTTGTTCCCTCCCTGGCTTTTTTTAGGGTTCACCTGTGGATACTCAGGGCTTACTCTCAGCTCTGTCCTTAGGAATCAGTCTTGTGGAGTAGCAGGACCCTGTGGGGTGATTCAGATCAACCCGTTTCGACTGTGTCCGTGGGAAGATCCCTATCTGCCCAGTTATCACTCAGGTCCCTTTAAATAGTTTCATCCATTGGTGAATCAATTGGCTTTGTGTACTACACAAACTTCCGTGTGTTTAATTGGCTTTTCTGTTGCCTTTGTTTAGGGAGCACAGTCCACAGTTCTCCTGGCTCTGTGCTAAACGATGACTCCTAAGAGTGCACAGAAACCGGGATACCATGGACTGAAACCTCTTGGCAATTTAAAACATTGGTGCATGACTCCCAATATTTTTGCACCAGGCACTCAAATCAGACGGAATTTACTTTCTCTTTTTTCCTTAGGTATTAGGAAAAAAGAATCAGGATTACGGCCTGATTCTTTTCATTATTACATTCACATAATAGTAATAATAATAATTATTATAGTAATTATTATAGTAATTATAATAATAGTAATAATAATAATTATTATGTAATAATAATAATAACGTAACGGCCAGGATCCAGAGATTATCACACCCTTTACGACATCTTATCTTCTCATTCCTACTTTGGACAAACTGGCAGGCTACCGAATGTAACCTGCCCACATGGCAGAGTCTGGCAAACTCCCCGTGGAGTACCCAATATGCCAAATACTAATAATAATGAAGGGTCTCATTCTCCTAATTCTGAAAGAGCCTTGAATATGGGACTTGTTTTTTAAATCTGAGGGCTAGGACGAAGGAGACGTTACTGGGGCCTGCTTGAGACAATCGACGAATAACAGGATGGTTGTGATTGTGATTAGGGATTATTCCTGCCTGTGTATTCAGGATCCACACCTGACCTTGCTCCAAGACCTTATGGGCTGCCTGTGATCAAACCCACATGTGTGTGCAGCACTTCTGTCCTATGTGCTGTACTATCTCTCCCACCGCTGGGGCTTTGATATATCTTCTCTCAACTCATCTGACACTGCCGTATTTCAGTGCTTGGAGATACTTCTAATGGTTCTTGTGAGACTTCAGCAGGACTCAGGCTTTTCTCCTGGTCTCTGAACTCAGGGATCACTCCTGGCTGGCGTGACGGACCCTAGGGGATGTCGGGTATTGCAACTGGATTGGCTGTGAGAAACTCCTGCTGTGCTCTCTTTCTGGATACATTTTTAGATTAACAAAATAAGGGTCTCTTGCCACCTTTGGCCATTTCCAGATTTATTAAGCACTTAGTTTTACTGAAATTCTTGATGAGTTCATGAGGGGCTCAGGAAACTCCATGTGGTGTTAGGCCTAGACAGACAGTATGGTTAGTCAAGTGATTTTCTTGCAAGCAATGCACCTGGGTTAAATCCCCGGCATCCCATGTCATCCCCAAGCACCAGCAGTGCTGATTTCAGAATACAGAGTCAGGAGTCGTCCTTGAGCATTGCCAGGTTAGACCCCAAACAAGACAAAAACCAACAACATACTGTGCTGATCAACACCCTGTCGGCCATACACAAGGCCTGGTCTATTGTATTTGTGGTATTTTCTTGGGTCTTACCTCTCGAATAACTAGAAATATGTGGCAATTTGGAAATGGACATTGTGTTCATGCCTTTATATCAGGAAACACGGGGATTTACCTGTCACCTTTTCCTTGTCACTTATCCATGCCTCTGTCTCTGTTGTGGCAGGGCACACTGGGATGAAGCCTGCGGTGATCTCCTGGCTGGAAAGAGGAGCCCTGAGGTCAGGGAGGAGAGACTTGTGTTTAGGTGAGTGTCTGAGGACCCTTCCTGGCTCAGGCCCTGTGCAGTGTATGGGTGCCCTGAGCATGTATGAAACACGCTGCTGAGGCTGGGGCCTTGGGCTCCTGGATCCATGGGTCTGTGCCACACTCACACTCCTCTTCATTCCCATCGTATGTCTGTCCAGAATGACTCTGTAAGTTGCTTCCATGGCTTTCGAATAAGTAAGACCATAACAGAGCTAGTTTGGATCTGAACGATAGTACAGCAGGGAGTGCCTTGCAGTGCCTGAAAGTGAACTGTTCAATAACCTGGTTCCCCGAACATCACCAGGTCTGCTCAAAAACTAAAACAAAACCTAGTGTTGAATTGCAAAGATCCTTACCGTTTTCCACTAACCTAATCTTTTCTTTAGTGTAGGATTTTATGGACTTTGAATACCACAGAGATGTACTCCAACTACATGGCATCATTTTGTTACATTTTTGACAATTGCTTTAACTGCATGTTGTGTTCAGTTTCAGAGCTGAAACCACAGATTCAAGATTTGGCATTACAGCACTTTGATTTGGGAATGGGGTCTGCAAGTACGAGTGAGTTGGTAAGATTTTTAATTCGGAATAAATTATTATGCCAGGGGGAGTGGACCAAATATGTGATTGTTAGGGTGGAGGGCTGTGAATGGCAGGGAGGAATTCCAAAGCCTGATGCTTGGGGTAGAGGACCCTTAGCTTTACTAGGTGCTGAAATCAACCATGTATAAAAATGCTGTGAGTTTTCATTTGCTTGACAGTTATAGTCATTTAAAAAACTAATTTGTGGGCCCTGGAGATAATGCAGTGAGAAGTATACTTGCTTTGCACAGGGATGGATGATCCTTACCCAGCACTCCTTATAGACACCGTAGACACACAGAACTGATCCTAGATACTGCATGGTGTGCCCCTCTGCCCACCCAACCCCCAATAAATAGAAACTACAAAACATTAAGAACAAAAAACTTTGTTGATCCTGAAAGCAATCACTTGTAGTGAGAGCTTTGCAATAGCCACGTGGTCTGTCTCAGCTGTGTGAGGATGCAGCGTTATCTTCACCCTTTCATCACAGGTTCCACTCTGAGCTTTAATCAAACCCACTGTGGTTGTATTTCATTTTCTCTTGAAATGGATGCATCAGTTTTCTATAGAAGGAATTATTTCCAGTTATATTCCTTCATTAAGTTAAAGGTGGGGAGAAGTCACAGAATTTTATGAATCTGCTTCCATCAATTTTGTGCGTCGAACTTACATTTACACGAAGTTATTCTATAATAAGACAATCCTTACGTAGGTAATTACATTTGTGTGGTGCATATGTTAGAAACCTCACCTGGGGCTGGAGCAATAGCACAGCGGGCAGGGCATTTGCCTTGCACGCGGCCAACCCGGGTTTGATTTCCTGCATCCCATATGGTCCCCTGAGCACTGCCAGGAGTAACTCCTTAGTGCAGAGCCAGGAGTAACCCCTGTGCATCACCAGGTGTGACCCCCCCAAAAAAGAAACCACATCTGAAGGCTCAGTTTTTTGACAGGAAGACTCGGTGAATAAGTTAATAATTGGAATCCTTCTCTGCTCTTCCTACAGGGAAGCAACCAACCCAAGTGGGATATCTCTGATTCTGCACTCTATGACAATATCTCTAGTGAGCAATCCTGCATTCAACCCCATGAGGATGCCAAGACGTGTGGGATGTCTTCTGAGGGTGATCAGAATGGCGAGAGCTACCTCACTCTGAAGAAGCCCTCCCTTGGAAAAAGTTCCTTGGAGTGTGGTGTTCTCAGTTCAAAGTCACAAAATCCCCTAGTCTGGATGCCACTAGGGAAAGAAGCACTGTTTATAGTGAGTCCCTCACAGCGACAAACTCTCAATCACAGTCACTGTGAACAGAACCCATCTAAGTGTAAGGAATGTGGCGGAGCCTCCCCATGTTCTCAGCACTGTGGTATTCCCTTAGAAAACTACAGTGGACAGCATCCCCGGAAAAGTGAGCACCGAGAACAAAGCGTGAGTCAAGGGTTACTCCATCATGACCATATGAATATAAATTCAGGAGTGAAACCTTATGCGTGTGAAGCATGTGGGAAGACCTTCAATAAATCATCACATCTTTTTAGACATAGGATAATTCATACAGGAGAGAAATCTCATAAATGTCAGACATGTGGGAAGGCCTTTATTCAGCCCTCAGATCTTAATAGACATATGAAAACGCATAGTGGAGAGAAGCCTTATATATGTCAGACATGTGGGAAGGCCTTTAATCGGCCCTCAGATCTTAATAGACATATGAATATTCATAGTGGAGAGAAACCTCATAAATGTCAGACCTGTGGGAAGGCCTTTATTCACACCTCGTCTCTTTATAGACATAAGAATACTCATAGTGGAAAGAAGACTTATATATGTCAGGAGTGTGGAAAGGCCTTTCCTACAGCCTCAAGACTTAGTGAACATAGGAGAATTCACACTGGAGAGAAACCCTATATATGTAAGGAATGTGGAAAGGCCTTTCCTGCAGCCTCAAGACTTACTGTACATAGGAGAATTCACACTGGAGAGAAACCGTATATATGTAAGGAATGTGGGAAGGCCTTTACTACATCCTCAGAACTTACTGTACATAGGAGAATTCACACTGGAGAGAAACCGTATATATGTAAGGAATGTGGGAAGGCCTTTGCTGCAGCCTCAAGACTTACTGTACATATGAGAATTCACACTGGAGAGAAACCGTATATATGTAAGGAATGTGGGAAGGCCTTTGCTACATCCTCAGAACTTACTGTACATAGAAAAATTCACACTGGAGAGAAACCATATATATGTAAGGAATGTGGAAAGGCCTTTGCTGCAGCCTCAAGCCTTCGTGTACATAGGAGAATTCACACTGGAGAGAAACCGTATATATGTAAGGAATGTGGGAAGGCCTTTGCTATAGCCTCAAGACTTAGTGAACATAGGAGAATTCACACTGGAGAGAAACCCTATATATGTAAGGAATGTGGAAAGGCCTTTGCTGCAGCCTCAAGACTTACTGTACATAGGAGAATTCACACTGGAGAGAAACCGTATATATGTAAGGAATGTGGGAAGGCCTTTGCTAAAGCCTCAAGACTTACTGTACATAGGAGAATTCACACTGGAGAGAAACCGTATATATGTAAGGAATGTGGGAAGGCCTTTGCTACATCCTCAGAACTTACTGTACATAGGAAAATTCACACTGGAGAGAAACCATATATATGTAAGGAATGTGGAAAGGCCTTTGCTGCAGCCTCAAGACTTACTGTACATAGGAGAATTCACACTGGAGAGAAACCGTATATATGTAAGGAATGTGGGAAGGCCTTTGCTAAAGCCTCAAGACTTACTGTACATAGGAGAATTCACACTGGAGAGAAACCGTATATATGTAAGGAATGTGGGAAGGCCTTTGCTAAAGCCTCAAGACTTAGTGAACATAGGAGAATTCACACTGGAGAGAAACCCTATATCTGCAAAGAATGTGGGAAGCCCTTCGGTCAATCTCAGTACCTTCGGAATCATAGCAGAATTCACAGTGGAGAGAAATCTCATCAGTGTCAGATATGTGGAATGGCATTCACGTTGTCCTCTTCCCTTACTATACACATGAGAATTCATACTTGAGAGAAGCCTTATATATGTGTGGAGTGTGGAAACACCTTTACTACATCCTCGCAATTGACTGTACATTGGAGAATTCACACTGGAGAGAAACTTTATATATAAGGAATGTGGGAAGGCCTTTGCTGTGACCTCAATAATTAATGTATATAGTAGAATTTACATTGGATAGAAACCATATATATGTAAGGAATGTGGAAAGGCCTTTGCTGGAGCCTCAGGCTTATTGAACATAGGCGCATTCACGCTGGAGAAACACTGCTTGAGCACCCTGCAGCTCCTAGTTTGGGAACTTGAGCGGCAGGACATGCCAGCTTGTAGGGCGTTTTTGTGCTTGTTTTTTTCAAAACTTTTTCTGCATATCTAGGTATTAGGGAATGTGGAGCTTCTGAGGGTTGCATTGGGGGCTGTTCTGTGGCAGAGGTGTCATGGGTGAGGGTGCGTTATACTGAGGGTCCCTGCAGCCAAGATCACATCCAGGTCGAAGATGGCACATGAACTTTGGGCCTTGGTGTGAGGGACCTGCAGAGAGTGGTGGTCTTGGCCATCTCATACCTCCCTACTCGGGACTGCGCAGGGCCCTTTTTGGAGCCTTTGGACTGGAGATAACACTTATCAAACCTCCAGATATGTTCACGGGAAGCCCCGAAAGGAAAGGGACACTGTTGTGGTCATTTTTATTGGCTCCTGTGCTGGGGTTGGGATTTTGGGGTGTGTCTGCACAAGTGAGAGGGTTTTGCCTCTGAAAATTTACTGTTTGTATGATTTATTTATTTTGTTTTCTGCTTTTTGAGTTACAACCAGCGATGCACATGGGGTTACTCCTGACTTATGCACTCAGGAATTACTCCTGGCAGTGCTCAGGCGAACATATTGTTGTCAGAATTCGAACCCAGGTTTTTCGCGTGCAAGGCAAACATCCTACCTGCTCTGATATCACTGCTGCTTAATGGCTATGATCCCAAAGATTCAGAGACAAATCTCAAAACCCAGCGGCTCTTGGCAGAAATGAGTCTGGACCCTGCAGTAGGTTACTAACCCCGGGCCACCCCAGAGGGAAGTGGTGCTGTCCCTCCACCTGCTCCCCCTTGGCGGCTCGCTGGCCACCATCCTCCAGAGGCCATTGGAAAGTCACATTTGGGCCCGCAGTGATGAGATATGTGGAGCTTCACAGGATGGGGGGATGGGGGTAGAGGTGGCCCTTTCCTCCACGACCCAACAATAGCTTAGATCATGCCCACGAACCGCGTCTCTGGCTCCTGATAAAGCTGCTTAATGGCCATGATCCCAGAGAGTCAGGAGAAAATCTGGAACTCAGCAGGTATTGGGAGAAATCCCTCCATATTATTAAAATTTCAAAATTACAAAATCATGTTGTTATAACCAGCAGTAGAAAACAAATTGCCTTTTTGAACTATCTGAGTGCTGGGGTTAAATCCCAAATATAATAATGGTGGGTCTGGTGTCAAAATATTGAATGTAATCAAAGTAGAGAGAAATGTAGAAATCATCTGCCCCAACAGTTAGGGGGAGGGTGTAGAATGGGGGTATACTTGGGGTTTTGGTGGCGGAAAATTGGCACAGTAAAGGGACTGGTGCTTCATTGTATGAATGAGACTTAAACCCAAAAGCTTTGTAACTTCACTCAGGGCGATTCAAAAAATAAAATTATCACAAAAAAGGGGGAAAGTACGGTGGAGTTGATGCCCATTTCAGTCAGCCTAATCAATAGCCGAATAAACAACAATACTGCAAGTAATTTTTTCTACTTCCACATGTCCAATTGCAAACAATCCCTTTCTCTTCATCTCTCCCTGACCAGAACATCAGGAAAACTGGCTCTTGTGGGTGGCTACATCAGTATACTTGTTGTTTTATCTTTTCCTGAAAGGGAGATATTTCAGTATGGGGAAGGGGAGTTTTGCTCAGGGGTCACTGCTGGTGTGCTGGGAAAAAAATTTATTTAGAAATGGCCAGAGCAATAGTACAGCAAGTAGGGTACTTGCTTGCATGTGGCCAACCCAGGAGTCCTCCAGTCCACAACACCTTTGAGTTCCTCACTGGACATTGAGTGTCCCCTTCTCACCCCTAGAACAGTTGATGTGACGATATGGCATGGGGGAGGAGTGTCTAGAGTTTTGGTCCAACCCAGTGTTGCTTTCTTTTGGTCCTGCTGGGTCAGTGCTTAGGTGTTACTCACAGGAGCATTGTTCATTGGGTTTGTCTCTGGGATGACTGCGTGCAAGTCCATCAGCTTCTAATATAGTTCCATTGTGGTATATCAGGATTCCATCCAGTGACTACTGGGGCCCGTCACCCTAAAGTGTTGGTGGAGGCTGGTTCCTCCCTTCTGGAGTGGGGAGAAGGGAGATCCCTGAGAACCCCTAGGGTGCTGCAGTGTTTCATCCTCAGGCCCATTGTGTGGATTGGGATAGCCTCCTCCTATCCTAGTGTGTGCTGGTTCGAAATGTGGTTACCTCTGTCAACATGGCAGTGAGTTTCACCCCAGAAGGATGAACATACCTGATTGCCTCTCAGAGGAATCTCTAAAGGGACATTATGCTGGAGTCAGAAGAGGAACAAAGATATGGAGAACCACTGACTGATGGTCAGAATGGCTTGTTTAATGTGAAGCTTTTAGCATAATACAGAGCATTAAAGGTTGTTGAGCTATAGGACTACACATAGGGGTGACTGATCGTTTACAGAGGTAAAGCATTTTTGTTTGTTTTTGCTTTTTGGGTCACGCCTGGCCATTAACAGGGGTAACTCCTTGCTCTGCACTAAGGAATTTACTCCTGGATGTGATCGAGGGACCATATGGGATGCTGGGAAAAGAACCCTCATCATCTGCGTGCAAGGCAAATGCCCTTCCTGCTGTGCTATGGCTCCAGCCCCTACAGAGGTAAAGGGTTTTGATGGAGACAATTCTGGAGAATTCAAGGATACACTGTCTCCCAGTGGCTATACAGAGAGATTCTCCCAGGGTCAACAGCATTATATTGCTTTCCTCTTCATCTACTAGAAAATATTAAACAATTAAATTTACTTCTTATTAATAATTGCAGATATGTGGATAAAAATAGTAAGAAATATAGATTCCAAAATTTAGTTCTCTGGACTCTGAGGGCAAGGTTGCTGGGCTTCTACCATAAATCCCATACTAGGTCTTCAGGCCGGTACAGCTTGTCCTTCATGAGGTCCTGTCTCTTAAGTCATAACAGCTAATATCAGGACTGTTCTTTCATGCTTTCTAGACTATTCCATTTCGATTCCGGGGTAGTTTTGCTATTTTCCCCAGATCCATCTCAGCCCTATGGGGGCCTTCCTTTTTGGAGTGTTAGGAAGTATGGCAACTGAAGCTTGAATCAAGTAAATATGACAGGTGCCAGGAGTAGATGTATTTCAGGATATGGGCCAAATATTAGGAGCCTATCATTAATAGTCTATCTGTGGTTAAGCAAAGAACATTGCTCTATAGTAGAGTATAAAAGGGCTAATGGGAATATAGAATAGGAAGTATTCACTTCAAATACAAAGTTCAGATTCACCTAAGTCATCAAACCTCACTTGGGGAATTGTAAGCTCAAAGTAAAGGTAAAAGAGAAATTCAGGTAATTACAGATGTTCCAAAAGCACTGTGGGGAGGGCGCTTCCTTACGTAAAGCAAATCAGGTTCAATCACTGACCTTCCATGGAGCCAATACTACCAGAGATGATTCCTGAGCACGGATACAGAATTAACCCTTAGCATCGCCAACTGTAACCCAAAACAAAACTGCATACAGTGCTGGTAGCTTAGTGATATTATCTGGTACTCCCTTATTTTACTCTTAAGTTTAAACCTTGTCTTATTCCTCACTCCCCACCAATCGTTGGCATATTGAAAGTGGACGTTATGATCATGCCTTTTCAATAGTGTGACCAGTTAGACCAGGGACACACGAGGTTTACTTGTCGCCTTTTCCTTCCTTGTGACTAATCCAGTCCTCTGTCTCTGTGGAGCAGGGCCTTCTGGGGTGAAGCCTGCGTTAATCTCTAGGCTGGAAGAGGAGCCCTAAAGCCGGGGAGGTGAGGTGTGTACAGGTGAGTGTCTGAGGACCCTTCCTGGCTGGGTCCCTGGGCAGTGTGTGCGTGCCCTGAGTGTGTGAAACATGCTACTGTGTCCTCGGGCCACTGGATCAGGCGTCTGTACTGCACTCACGCTGCCCTTCATTCCCCGGAGCTGTTCGTTACGGAGAGATCCTGTCCTTTGCTTTCTTGACTTTGTTGTCATTCTTCCTCGTCTGTCAGGTATGCCGAATAGTCATGAGTTTCAAGACCCTTGTCCCCCCCCCAGCTGAAAAACCAGCCTCACTGTACACCTACAGGGCCGGGTACCCTTTCTGGACCCCTCTCTGTCAATATGACACCATGCTTATCTGCTTATCTTTGCCTTTGAATCATTGCCATGTTTTTTTGAATATAGGAAGAAATTGAATTTTCTTTTGTTTTTGGGACTGGGGATGACCAACAGTTATTCCTGGTGTTTCTCATAAGTTGCTGTTGGCAATGCTCAAGGATCAACCCCTGTCAGCCTCATGCAAGGCAAATGCCTACCTGCTGTACTCTTATACGCACCACAAAATATTTTATTGTGTGTATGTTAAATTGTGGCTGTGAGCCCATAGTGAAGCTTATTAGGACCAGAACAGCAGTGCATCACTGAGGGTGCTCGCCAACAGACGCTGCCTACCTTTGATGTCCAGCTTCCCCTATGGTATCTCGAGCATCACTGGGTCTGATCAAAAATAAAACCCAAAAGGCTTGTTCTGGAATTGCCTTGCTCCTGCAGCAACACTTCCCGTAGATTTTCTCTTTTTGTCGGCTTGTTTGGACTGTGAGAACCATGTCCTCCACCTGT